TTTTTGTGTGGTTTTTTTTCCCTGTTAATACTATGTCTTACAGTGACTATTTTAAAAAGTGGTTGCAAGTGTGATCACCCAATCTAGAGCAATATAAAAATTATCATGCAAAGTTTTGCTGAAGAAAAAGTCTGAAGGGGATAGATAAGAATTTAACAGTAGACCAGAAATTTATGTTGAAAAAGTAGCACTGATCTAGAAATTAAAGAAATAGTCCGGTTTACATTAAACATTAGTCCAGTTTCCAATTCCTTCCTTCCTTTCTTTCTTCCTCCCTCCCTCTCTTCCTTCCTTCCTTCCTTCCTTCCTTCCTTGCTTCCTTCCTTCCTTCCATTACCTTTCTCTGCCCTTTTGTTTCTTCTTTTTTTTTCTATTATCTGAAGCAGAACCAGGAAAAAAATTCTCATAATTTCCTCATAAATTGTTTAATAGTAGTGTTTTACATCAGTGTAGATTTCCTACTTGCACCATTTTAATCTGACAGGCCGTTCAAAATATGTTTAAAGCCAGCTGAAGGAATTCACTAGGTACATTTACTTGCAGCAGTGAGTCAGTAGAAAGATATCCAATAATTCCAGGGGAAACTACTTGCATGTTCAGTTGTCCTTTGAGCAGATGTTGGTTGCCTGGAGGAGATTACAAGCACGGTACCCTGGATTCATATTGAACATAGTAGCTCTTTTTAAAAATGTTTGATCATCTTGCAGCGTGTCCTTCCTTTTTTTCTGACTAGCCTTCTGGTCACTTCTGTATTTCAGTTGTGATTGAATAGAAATCTACTACTTATGTCACCCAAAAGATTACTTTAATATTGTATTTTAGATATTATTTACTTCTGATGGCTTGTCTGTACACTTCTTACTCTAAAAGGATATATCCGTGAAAATAAACAGAAGTCCTAAGAATGTTATGGTTTAAATACGTTCTTCTGCTTCAGGGGTCCAAGAAAGTGTGCTTAGAAGAATCTCGTGGCTTTCCCACAGCACTGACACACTGAAGGAGTGTGTACATAAAAGCTTGATATATATTCTTAACACCCTGAATTTAATCTACAGAGTGTTGCACTTCTACCCCTAACCCAACAAGCATGAATAATTTGATTATTTGTACTCAGGCAAAATCCCGCTGGGAGCTGGTGAAAACAAAAACTTCCACGTGTGTGTGTCTGGCATGTAAATCATATGGCTCAAATCTGTATGCAGCCATAGATATTTTTTAAAAAAGATAGTCATGTCAAGTTTAGAATAGAAATTCTTCCATCTGTTTTGTATTTCCCACCTACCAAGTTACAACTATGCTTATTTATGAGGAGAGGATCCTTTCAGTGCCGTTATACTTCAGGTCATGGACAAAGTCTGGTTCTCTAGAAAACAGTAAATGCAAAAATAAGAAAAAGAAATATTATTCTAAAAATCTTAGTCTTTTGAACAGCTAACAGAAACTTGTGTAACTGAGACTATACATATTCATATCTATGTATTTATAGTGAAGGAGCTATCTTTGTGTTGTCATATATTTCTCAATAAGCAAAGACTTTGATTTTGATGTTCTCATGCTTTCGTTACTTACATCAGGTCTTTGAAATTCAGCAAGAAGAAATTTCAGGAAGATACATACAACTATCAGCTTTCATAAAAGTCCATTTTGCTGTGAATGTTGCTGTTCATTGCAGGAGTGTTGGACTAGATTCCAACACCAACGATTCTGTGATCCTATGATTTTGTGATTTAATTATATCCCAGGTACAGGTGTTCTTCCCATCTGTAGGCAAAATCATGATGACATGCATGATAACACCAATAACTTTTTGTTGCCAGATACTTGCAACAAAATAGTTTTTAGTTTGAGTAAGAAACATAGGTAATGTATCCAACAAAATCATTAAGATAAAGCTATCTCTCTAGTTGCAAAGTCAATAATCTAGTACAAAAGACCAACATTAAGACCATACAATTCATCATATTTCGTGTAACTGTAACCCCTTCATGACATGCCTTGGTGCTTTCCTGTAGTGTCTGTCCTTTCGTTGCACAATTGAGATACTGCAAAGGATGATAGCTTAGGGATGATGGCTTATGACTCCTCTTGTCCCAGAATCTTTCTTCCAAAAGGCTTGAAGAATTCTTCAAGAAGAAAGTTGGTTTTGTGGATTCTCCAGATATTACTGTACAGAAGAACTATGGAATATTACTTTCTAAGTCACAACTTTCTTACACGATCCTGTACAAGTTGTTTCTAATTGAAACTGACAAAAGATTGTCACCCATGTCCCACTCTATATCTGGATATCTGCAAAAGAAGCATTTATGAAGCTGACCTGACAAAGGCTTCACAGGGACTTCTTGTTGCAAGAGAGACCATCTGTAGCTATGACTGTTGGACACTTTGGGATAAAATAATGTATTCCTTTAAAACAAAAAGATGCAGAAAGAAAAAATCCTATGGAGAGTTGAGTGGGTATGTAGAATATAGTCCTTTAAACAATTCTCTTTCTGTAGACATTTGGAGTTGATTAACATATACATCCACATTTGGCACCCTGGCTGCAGTGAATTTCCCTTCAAGCAAAGTAACAGCTCTTTTATATCTTTTTATTCACTGAGCTCCATCAGAAAAAAAAGAGCACATAGTGTACCTGGAGTATGCAAAGGGCCTCTGTGCCCCAGCACAGCATAAACTCTAGTTTCATTAGCACACATCATTAAATGTTTCATACAGCAAGGCACCATCTGCTCTTGAATATACTGGGACCTCTGCACATAAGGTGTGTGATTGCCTTCAGCCAAGAGGGACAGCCTTTTGACTTTACTGACTAGACTAAGAGATGGGGTTATTTTGCTAAAATTCTTTTCTCTGTTACACAAACTACTCCTCTCCAAGAGGAGTAGAGTCAAGAGCTGACTCCAGTTTCTTCTTGCATATTCTTTTATTGGTCCCAGAGGATGGGAAATCATGGGCTGGTTAGGCAGTACTATTCCACATGATCAATTACTTATTCGTTTCCCTTCCAACAATCTTACAATGTTAGATATCTCCCCTCTTACACTCAACCATACAAAAAGCATATTTAGAGGCTTACACTGAAGCAAACACAGAGGCAGTTTTCAGCACACATTCCCCTTTCACACTCCCTGATCACTACTCCAAGATAAAGAAGGGCAATGCTCCCATAAAAAAGGAAGTCTTCACTGCCTCAGCTCCATCCTGCCTTTTGGTCATCTTAACGTGTGGAATATGTTGTCCTCTTTAGGGATGTCCTCTTCAGCCATGGGCTGTGTGAGTTCATAATGCCTCTGTGAGTTCTTCAGGATGGACAGACATATCAAAGAGAACTTAACTAAGCAATGTGGCTAATACCTTGATTTTGTGTGGAGTGACAAGAGACATCTCTTTTCTGTTTTGTCAGGAAAACAAATTCAGAAAATGGATTTCAAAATACAGAAGACAAAGCTTTCATGAAGATTGTATGTTCCTGTAATGGCCCGGAGAACAATTTAAATTAGGTATTTACAAATTTACTTATTTACAAATTTGGAAGAATTTAGAGGGCATACAGGAAAGCTGGGGAAGGACTTTTTAGAAGGGCATGTAGCAACAGGACAAAGGGAAACATCTTTAAACTGGAAGAGGATAGATTTATACTAGATATTAGGAAGAAATTATTTACCGTAAGGGTGGTGAGACTCTGGAACAGGTTACCCAGTGAGGTTGTGGTTGCCCCCCTCCCTGGAGGCATTCCAGGCCATGCTGGATGGGGCTTTGAGCAATCTGATCTAGAGGGTGATGTCCCTACCTATAGCAGGGGAGTTGGAACTAAATGATCTTAAAGGTCCCTTTCAACCCAAACCATTCTGTGATTCTATGAATTTGCATCATATTCAAATGGCTAGAAGCATATGCACTCATGGACTTACAGAACATATTAGTATTGTATTGACAGAATTCTAGGATATCCTCTTTTCCTGTAAAAATTAATGTCATATTTCTAAGAAACTGGGGGAAAAAAAAAAAAAAACAACCCAGTCCTAAATGGTTCATAGGTTCATATAAATTACCATATGTATAAGTAAGCTTAATAATATACATTTCTGGAACATCATCTAACTCCAGTCTTTTCCCATTTTCCAGTTGTGACTATTTTCATCTTTTCATGGACATCAATCTAAACACTTGATTGTTTGGTCTCTTCCTTAATCTAAGATCAAATAAAAAAGTAAAATCAAATTATAGATGAAGCTACTCATTGGTTTTTTTCTTATGCACTTCATTCATCCAATTACTTGTTACAAACTTACAGCCAAAATTGTCTGAAATGCAAAGAACATATTTTCCTACTTCATCACTGTGCAACTGGTTTATATCTTTCAGAAATTCTGCACTTCTAATTTTTTTGTGTTTTTTTTTTTTTCTTAATCTTTACTGCAGACTGAAAAATTGCCATTTGTAATTCTGGAAATGCTCATCAACTATCTAATCAGTGAGATTCATTTCTTCTTGTTAAGTTCTTCATGTTCTTAGTATGTGATTGTAATAATTTCAGCACTATCAGCTATGTCTAGTCTTTCTTTCATAATAGTTCTTTAAAATGTTTTAGGGCCATTTTTTCTAAAGGTAAGTCAATTTTCCTTATTTACCTTTATTTGCCAAAGTTTATTATTACACTTGCAGAAAAAAGAAAAATACATTCATAAACTCTCCTGTAAAGGTACTATCAGACTCCTCAATGCATTTGTACTACATTTAGTTGGAGCACATATTCATTCCTAGTAAAAAGGAGAATTAGCATTCCTTCAATTACTTATTTTTTTAATAATTAAAATTCTTTCCATTATGTTTAGTTATTAGGGCATTTTGCCACAGTGTGTTTCAGCTATAAATATGCTCTTTCCTGTTAGAAATGACACTAATTTTGCAGTTAGTTATCAAAGAAATTTTTTCCCAAATTTATTACAGTATACATAGATTTACAGAATTAGATCATAAATTTATATTGCTATCTTAAAAAAACATAGGATGACACATGCATTTTTCCAGACACAGTATATTAACAGATGTGTTATTTTTTGTAAGCAAAAAAAGAAAAATCTTCTCCATTTATCTGTTTATGCCTGTGATTGATAAATACATTCCTTTTATTGCATAATCATCTTCCTGAGACATTGACAAGAACATTTTCTGATTTCCTAATGAGAGAGACAAGACACTGAAAATATGGAACTGTTGTTCCCCAAAGTTATGCTATATTCACAAAGTGACATTGAAGGCTAAAATATCATTACCAACTCCTCACAAGTGCAAAACTGAGGAAGACAGTCAACTTTGAAGAATGAAGAGACTACTGCAGTGAAAGTTTAGCGTGGACTGTTTATCATTTCAGTATTGGGTCATCTGTCTCAGTTTTCCATCTTTCTCTTTCACAGTTGATTAGTGATATGCTGATGATTCATGGTAACAATTCTTTTGCTCAAAGCAAGGAAAGCTCTGTCATTCCAGGACAAAAAAAATAAAAAAATAAAAAAAATTAACACACAGCAAAACTCTTCTGCACTTCTGAGACTCTGCTCCTCTCTTTGATGTAGTTCATCACTGGCATTATGCTCAGTTGTGTCTCTGCCCAGTTACTGATTTCATTTTGAGGAGTAGCCTCCTTTAATCACAAATCATATTATTGGTTCCTATGTGCCTGTTTGTCTTCATGTTTTACCCTTCTAAATCTCCATTCTCAAAACGGAGAGTGAACCTCTACTATACTTCCATGAAGTGGCCTCTTTTAGTTGATAATTCTTGTCTTGATTTTTTTCCAATCTTCATTTTAGTCCAGTTTCATGTTTGTGCATTGTCTGACTTTGAGTTCTGTCCTTCATTATCTCTAGCAAAAAGAGAACAGATTGCTTTTTGACTGAATATTTTCCCTATAAAAATTCACTTTTTTTCTTACTGATAAACTCAGTAAGAGAAAAGGTACAGAGAAGAGAGAAAAATATCATATACACTCTTTGACATTTTAAATGGGGAATTTTTTATCCTCATTCAAATATTGTCTTTTGCAGAAACTTTTTATGTGTTATGAAGAGGGGGTAAGATAGTTTTTTCATCCAGTACTCTAGCAAAGAAACTAGTTGCTGTATAGGTGATGGCCATCTCCAATATTGATATTAAATTGTTGATATTAACAATGATTATCTCATATCTGAACTGAAGTCTAACTCATAAAGCTCTGTTTAAATGAGCATCTATGGCCTTCTGTATTTTTCAGGAAAAGTTTTGGTGCACATATGGATAGAATGGTAATAATACATACTATTTTGAATGACAATGAAAGTATGAATCTATGAAAGGTTTTGAAAGGAAAATATTCTGAAACCTTCACTGCAGTGTATGGAGAAAGATTTTGTTGAGAAATGCAAGAAGGTCAAAATACTTGATATTTTAAAATTCCTAATAAAACTTTGAAACCTCTTAATGTGTGATCTCAGGATTCTCAGATCCTAATGAGTGAAGCATCAAATGCAATTCAAAAATAATTACGAAAAATAACACAGGCATCATGTCCCTCCTGATGTATTCAATGATAAACTGGCAAATGTCACAGAAAGTTGCTACCACGTTATTGTTATGATAACTTACTGCTCTTGAATCATCACCATGCCAATGAGTCAAGGGATATGGCAGCATTTCAATATATAGTTTAATGTAAAATGAGAACTTTACAGAGAAGTCAGCTTTCCTCCTTCTGAGGCATGTGATGTTAGTGGTAAATATCTAAAGAGTAGGTGACATGTTTGGAGAAGACTTGAAGTGTGAGCTAGCCAACAATTTTTCATCAAGGTTGTTTTCATTTAAACTGAAAGTGTCATTTCCATTGAACTGAATTTTCCAGTGGTTATTTTCAGTTCTATACTTTTTTTTTTTTACAGAGAAGAGAGGTACAAATACATATTATATCTTGCAGCATTTCAGCCTTTGGGGAAAGACTCAAAGATGACAAACCATCCTAATTGGGCATCAACAAAAAAAAAAAGCAGGACAAAAAAGACTACTCATTTAGCTTCTTTGTAACCCCAGATGAAGACTAATAATTTCTTTTATGGAAAAGAAAACTAAGCTGTACTTTCTGGGAAGGGAGACAACTAGTAAGCCAAAACTCTCTGTGAACAGATTTTTCAGAAGGCTCTTTCTGTTGAAGTGAATAACTAAACGTAATGTTTAGGGCTGGGAGGGAGGATTGTTTATTTTACTTTTTACCCCAACTCAGAAGGAAAACATTTTCCAAATTACTTTTTAAGCCCAGTGAATTTATATTTTCCAAGCAGAGCTATCTAGGATTACTTAGATTTCTGACCAGGTGCAAACATACATCATATATTTATATGAAGTTTTACTAGAGGAAGGTTTGTATGGTTCAGTAAAATCAGATCCATTTCTTCATGCTCCCAGAAATCATTATCTATCCACACAAGAGGCTGCTCTCCATTCTCTCTGCTCAACCCACCCTGCTCTACACCAAGGAGTTCCTCATCCTGCCTAATAGTGGCCTCGGCCCCATTCCCAAGTTTCCTAATCCTACTAGTATTTTGCAGGCATTTCAAATATGTCCTTTACTGATAAGGAATGTGTTCTTATTCACTCTTTTTGTTTTCTCAGTGAAAGCCAATAGTTAGGTGGAAGTTCAGAAATGAGTTTGTGGTTTAGTGGCATTCTGAAATAAACATTTAAACATCTTTTGTAATTTACTGTTCTTCATATACAGACACTACTTCAGCATTTCACATAGTGTCAAATTTTTATTCTATGTGTGTAATTCATATGTAGGTATTTTACATTGTGTATGAAATCAGTTTCTCGTCTGGTCCCCAGCTGGAAGACTTCTTATTTTGACAGATACCCTGTTTTAAAAGATCATCTTTTTTACAAAAGAACTAACAACGAGGTGAACGCTGAGCAGAGCTGGTGCAGCAGATTGGGCTTAAATAAGAGGATGTTGCTATGTTTTTTCACAAATAACTTTTTGTGTTATACCAACTGAAGCATGAGATCAAATGTAGCTGTGATTGCTTGTCAATGAAAAGAACAAAGATTGCAAGCTGCCAGAACCAGGCTACTATACAGTTATCAACTTTCAGTTATTTTAGCACAAAAATGTTATTTACTTAGTTTTTAATACATGCTCACTGTGATTGAAGAAATTTAATAAAATTTGGAATAGAAATGCTATTTCTTCAGTTGCTAGCCAAGAAGTCTTGAAAGATGTGGAGCTTTTGGAGAGGGTCCAGAGGAGGGCCATGAAGATGATCAGAGGACTTCAGCATCTCTGCTATGAAAATAGACTGAAGGAACTGGGCTTGCTCAGTCTGGAAAAAAAAAAAAATAAAAGGTGCAGGAAGAACTCATTGCTGCCTTCCATTATTTAAAGAAAGTTTATAAACCTGAAGGAAATCAGCTTTTTACACTGGTAGATAGTGCTAGGACAAGGGGGAATGGTTTTAAACTAAAGGAATGGAGATTTAGATTTGATGTCAGGAGGAATTTTTTACTGAGAGAGCGGTGAGTTGTTGGAACAGGTTGTCCAATGAGGTTGTGGGCACCCCTTCCACTAGAGATATTTAAGGCCAGGTTGGATGGGGCTCTGGGCAATATGATCTAGTACTTGATTTAGCAGCTGGCCCATGGCAGGGGGCCTGGAAACTGATGATCCTTGAGGCCCCTTCCAAACTAAGCCATTCTATGATTCTAAGTCAGTAAAAAAGCTTTATCATAACATGTACTTCCTCAGAGCTGGGACAGACCTAATATTAACCCAATGGATAGCTGATAAGTTGTTCAGCTGTATCCTGGCCTTCAGTGTGTTAATTCAGTGTTGCCAGCTACCTTACCTGCTGTAAGGTACCTTACCCTATTCATATATCACAAATATCATATATATTTGTACAGATCAAACCCTTCCACCTGGATACTACCATCTATATCAGAACCAGCCATTCCAGTTCAGTGTTAGAGGATGTTACTGCCACATTTTATAAGCTCCAAATGCATTATAAAATGGAGGATTATAAATTTATCATATACTAATAAGTATGCTAACTTAGAAAAACAAGTTAATGTTCATTATTGTGTCTTTACCACTGTGGGCCTCAATACATGCAGATAGCTGCTTCAGTGCACAAAAATAAATGCTATGTCTTGAATCTTTTATGGAAATATACATTTTTCCTTCGGTGTTTTATGTCATAATAGCATCTTCAGGGAATCTGTGATTCTTACAGATTCTAGTCATTCTTAGGTTAAATCTTAGAAAGCTTCACAAAATGTTGTAAACTAATGAATACACTCTTGAATAAGGCAAAACAAAACAAACATTGGCTTTTACAAGAAGTGTGGATATATTCAGGTGAAAATTATGCTCGCTGCTGTCAGAGTTTGACGTATCGGAGCCCCCAAAGCAATCATGTACATGACTGAACAAAGGAATTCTGACTTAATTCTGTGAAAATAACAGTTTAATAAATTATAAATTGTACAGTGAGTCATAGCACATGGGTTTTAGCTGCCTTTGGTTTCCATATGTATAGCAACTGATGTTAAAAATATTCAGATAAGATATGTAAAGATTCTTTATGGGTAAAAAAACCACCAGTTTTCTAAGAACTAAAGGATGAATGCGTTATCAGGTAGGTTTATGTCTTCTTAGCAAATTACCTCTTAATCCATCTTTGCTGATACCACTATAATCATATTAGCTTTCCCAGTCACTTTCCAAGAAGAAAACAGCTTCAAACAGAGATCTGTGTTTAAAGTGCTTTTCTCCATTTGTCTGGCAAGAAAAAAAAGAGATACAAAAAAACATTTTGTGAAGTCTTTCCTTCATGCACTGTATTTGTAACATCAAGGCAGTCTATAATTAGAGAGTGCAGAGACCAGTGACTAATTCATACAAAGATACCAAGCAAGCAGCTGAAGTGTTTTCATTATTTTTACAAGTAGACAGAAATATCAGACATCCCGAAGCTATTCCTCAGACTGCAAATATTGGCATACTCTGCTCAAATACAACCACAGAGAAAAACTACGAAAGAAAAACACAAACTGCAGATGCCGTATCTTCTCCTACATTACTTACAGTGCATATCTTCACACCTAGCATGACTGTACTTGCAATATATAAATCCTCTGTCATCTCTGCAGTGAGTCATTTATGCTTGTGACCATTAACAAAAAGATACCAATCTTAAATTGGTCTACTGTTAGCTTTGCTGCCTTCTCCCACTCCTTTCATATTTTTGTTTCGTGCAAGACCTTTTTGATATCATAGAACCTTGACTGAATGTAGTAGGATATAATAAACAGCTGTCATTATTATTTAAGACCTGAAATAACAGCTTTTCCAATGCCTTCACTCTTACTTTCACCTTTAAACCAAGCATCATCTGCAGTACTAAATATTTGGTCACTGGACTGTCACCTCCTTCCTGGTAAACACAGAGTTTGAGTAAATATTGTGCAGTTGCAGAAAATGTGTGGATATTTTGGCTGATCAAGTGGGAGGGAGGGACAGCTGGCTAGGAGGAACTGTCCAAAATTCGTTAACAAAAAAAAAATTACACATTATTTGTGTACACAATATTTTCCCAGCAAAACTGGGACAGCTAGTGTGTATTGCCGTTTATGTGTATCTAAGTGGACTATTATTTTCTACATAGATACATCATATCTATCACATTTTGAAAGTTTTGCACTTTGGTGAAATCCAGTTCAGTGCCAGGCATTAGTTATAGGATCAAAGAGCCTTTGAAGTAGTGCCTAGTTTGTGTTGACCTTTGATAAGAGGATAAATTTCACCCTGTGTCATTAGTGCTATGCACAAACATAAAAGGGATATGTTTGCCATGCCTTAACATCTTTGATATTTACCCAATGCTTTGCTTGAGATAGCAGGTATAGAGATGATCCTATCTTTCCTGACCAAGTTGAAAAGGAGAGGTATGTGTATTTAAAATAAGGTTCAAGCCTAGGCCAGGAGCATTTCAGCTATTGCTGAACCTTTTCCTAGCATAATGCAAGAAGCCAGTGTAGGTGAGCTGATGTAACTCTACTGTAATAAAACAGAGTTCAAAAAACAGTGATGATTTGCTAACCTGGAGGACAAAATATATCCTGAGATAGGAGGGCATGATACTGCAGAGATCAGACATTAGCTAGTGACCACGCTACCCCAGAGGAGGAGAAAAGCTCAGACTTTTCTAACATGTGACAGATGTGTAGCGTGGTAAATGAAGCTTACCACTATCTACAGGTGCAAATCTCACTGCCCTGCCACTGATGTTGAATTTGGCTATGATCACTCCAGGGTAACTGATTCTTCTCCCATCACTTTCAGCATGTTCTCAGAATCTTCTTCCTGCTTTGGCTTAATTTGGGAGTGGATTACAGAATCAAACACAAACTCTTTAGATACATCACTTCTATCCAGAAGACTGTTTCTGGTCCTACTAGGCAACCCATATCTTTCCCAGATCAGGCAGGTCCCATCTCTTAATGTCCTCAAGCCTGTCTTCCCATCTTTATACATGCTCATAAGTTAAAGGTCTTCTGTGTGCTGGCCAGCTGATTGACATACAACAGACCATGCAAGCTGCCTGCAGAAACTGAAGCCATCTCAGCTTGTAAATAAAACAGGCCTTGACCTGTTCTTTGACACTGTTCCATGCAGGGCTTCTGCACGTGACAGAGAGGCACGTACACAGAGAGTTCAAAAAAAGAAGTGATTTGGGAAAATTAGTTCAAATGATGTCCAAACATTTGAGATATTGAAGGGTGAAGGTAGAAAGTGAGTAGGGTAAGGTCTAAATTCCCCACGTGACACACGTGCACAGACTATGGTATTCTTAAATATGGAGTTTTATTTGACAGAAAGTAAAATACAGGAGCATGAGTATACAAGCATGCATATTTTGTTGCTAGGTTCATTTCATCTGTTGGTAAAGCAGGATTTCTACAATGAATGAAGAATCATATCCTTAGTGCATTCTTAATGTAGCGATTCAGCTCCATCAAACAGGAGTCGTATTTCCATGAACCCCTCTGACAAAGAGGTCCATCAGAATCTAGAAGTTTAGATAATTACAATTTAAAGATGCTTATAGCAAGGATAACTGCTTAAAGGCAGAAGTCTTTTGAGAGCACCAGGAAAAGAGAAAGGACTGTCAGAGGGGGGGTGTGGGTTAAAGAGATTGCTGTCCTCAGTGGGTAAGGTGAGGAGAATTATACTGGTCCTTGAGTTTCACAGTGAATGCAAGACATACTTGCTTTTCTTTTCTTTTGCTATGGCATACCCCATATTTATATGAAAAACTGATTCTTGTGAACTCCTTTTAGATTTACATGTGTTAGCAAAAGGGAGTTCAACTTAAAAGCTGTGTTTCAGGAAGAATGGGCAGAAAATACAAGACTGTTGTTACTCCTGAGGAGTCAGGGCAATGCTAGATGGCTGCTTCTCCTGGGAATAAAAGGGAGATGTCGGAGAGCCATTATCTTGGAAATCCCAGCCAGAGCAGGTCCATCAAGAGTTAACAGCTCTTTAAGGGCTATCAGCTCCTACAGATGGAGACTGTATTAACACTTGATCATGCATTCTGATCACGCGCCCATCATAGATATCGCAGTCCCTGAGCATAGGAGACTGCCCAATAGATTCAGAAACAGTTGAGATTGTCTGTAATCAAGCCCAATTACTCTTCTTCATTGCAGACATCTTCTGTCCGACTCACCCTCCAATCTAACCTTCTGCTTCACCAGCATGGCTGTGTCAGTGCATCACCTGAACATGCAATGGGAGTTCTGAGAGCATGGCCAGCAGGTCGAGGAAGGTGATCCTGCCCCTCTGCTCTGTGCTGGTGGAGCCATACCTGGAGTACTGCGTCCAGATGTGGAATCCTCAGTACAGGAGAGACATGGAGCTATTGGAGCGCATCAAGAACAGTGCCACAAAAATAATCCAAGAAATGGAACACCTCCACTGTGAGGACAGGCTGAGAGACCCGGGGGGTTCACCTTGGAGAAAAGAAGACTCCAGGAAGACCTTCCAGTATTTAAAGGGAGGCTATAAGAAAGAAAGGGGAGCAACTTGATCTAGCTGTAGGTGTCCCTGATCATTGCAGGAAAGTTGGGCTAGATACCTTTAAGGGGCCCTTCCAACTGAAATGATTCTATGATAATATTCACAGCTAAATGAAAGGGATAATTGTAAGCCAGATTAGGTTTATGTACTGACATGTTTATTAGTAAGTTGTACTGTAGCTCTTCCAGCGATAACAGAAAAAACTCATTTTTACCAAGGAGAGAACTCATAAATTCTCACAAGAACATATGAAAGATTACACAGTGAGAAAGTTTATTCTGCTTAGGACCATTCTTAAAATATCTCAAACAGCAAGGGGAAATTAAGTAGAGCAACCAGTAGATAAATGAATAAAAAGATATATTCTCATGCTTTGCAGACAATAAATAATGTAAGAAAGCACAATGCTCATTAGAAACCGCTAAGCTGTCTATATTTCAAAGAAAAATAGATCCTCTTTTCAGCTTTATTAATAGTATCATTAGTACTTATCAACACTTAAAACATTGATCTAAGTCATTAAGGTATGACAGTAAAATTATTTCTAGAAACAGACCATACAGTTAGTACAGAGAATTCTGTAGATTTTTTTCTCTCCTCTTGTATTGTCAGTTATTTACTTCCTAATTCTAAACTCTGCTAAGTCTGAGAACCTGAAAGAACAGTGTATGTGCCTAAAGAAATGCTAGCTTGGTTGTAGCTTTTCTCTGTATTTGTTAATAAAGGGGCTGCAGAGGTGGCCCCTGTGAAGAGTCCAGAAGTTGCCACATGACAGATTAGAAGAGGGATCCACTGCTGGTTAGAGCTGAGCTCCCCTTGTTCCCCTGTGTTGCTTGGGTGAGAATGTAGAAAAATTTGGGTAAGCAGAAGTGTTATTAGTTTGCTCTTGATTCTTATCTTTCTAGTGCAATACCAACAGGCAATACGTTATGTCATCTTCCCTTATGCTGAGTCTGTTTTGCCCATGATGTCAACTCATGACCAATCTCCCTGTCCTTTTCCCAGGCAACAGGTTTGTTTTTTTTTTTTTCATGGCATATTCTCTCCTGTCCTTTTGAGAAGGGAGAGTGGAGGATTAATATGGTGATGTTCAACTGCTCATCAACGTCAAACCACCATGGCAGCCCAAACCAGCATGATTCACAATTTATGCTGCAGTGGCATGAAACCTCACTGCCTGATGGGAAACACAAGATGTAGATGGACACCCTTTGTAGGGTGGCTTATTCTGTTTCCCATGGCTTACCTCTTCACCACTCAAATTGTTCTATTCAGACTTCTTAATCTCTTTTAGGGTAATGCATCTGCTGACTAATCTGTGAAGGAGATAGGCCATATTATCCTCATGAAGACCGTAATGAAATACTTTTGCTGAATTTCATTATGTACTTGACAAGGCAATGAACATACTGTTTTTATGACATTGACACAGCACATAAGTAGAATGGTGTATATTTTTGTTTGATTGATTGATAGCAATTTCATTTAGAAACAAGGTATTAAAAAATTATTTTGAAGCATGACATAGTGTGTAACAATGTTACTTGTTTCACTGCCTGAATTAATGGCAAATCACCACACTGAAAGATGGAATTATGAGTGATTTATCTTCAGCTCAATTACTCTGTTTATCATTTCTCAACAATGGAAAATATGGTATTCAAACAATGCCACAGTAAGAATAATAAATAAAATTGATGGTGACAATTTCTTAATATAATTGTCCTAAATGTTTTGCTATTTTGACATCTGCATTATTAAATCAAATTGCTTCATTTTCATCCAGTGACTGACATTTCAAATGTCAATGAACAGTATGAGCATGAAGCTCCACTTTTTTGTGATGTACAGTCACCTTCTCATGCAGATTAACTGTCCAGTGCACAGGGTATTGGCTGGCTCAGCACCATGAAAACAGTTGAACTGCTTCCTGGGATATCATGGTTCTGGCATTAACATTTTAATTTCTATATGACTGAACAAATAAATTGTGCAGGACCTTATGTAGCCTAGCAAAGGACAAATAGCTTTAAAATACTTACCCAGTACTGGGACACCATAAGAGAACATACAGACAGAAAATTGACTCAAGACTAAGGAACTACAGCTGCAATTTGATTTATTAATTTATACTGTGTACTAACCCTTATGGATTTGGTGCTAAAGTAAGACTGGAACAGTTCTAATAGCTGGTATTGTATATCGCATATTGTTCATTGTAAATTAACTCACATGTAGAGCATGATGAGTGCATGGAGCTACTTGGGAATTGGTTTTGCATACACTCCTGGAATTCAC